CCCCCCCCCCCCCCCCCTCGACCTCGACGTCCTCACCAGTTGGCTGGGGTGAATCTCGGGTAGGGTGTAGTAGGGCGAGGCGCCTGGAAAAAACAAAAGAATGAGACCACACAAGCATTAAAAAAAAAAAACAGGAGTATTCCTCTCGTTGCAAAATGGATACTGCTCATTCCGTTCATGATTGACACTCGGTTGGTACAAGGTTACCTGGATCGCTGCCAACGCCAATGTGTGCATCAACTGTACGCGCAAGCCCTCCAATTATCACCTGCTGCTCACAAGCGTTGCATGTATGGCCTCCCAACCCGTACAGTACCTACCCCACCGCGGCGGCCCCCAAAGACGTTTCGCCTGGCGATCTGGTGGAGATAAGTTGTGCTATCACAGGAGTTTGACACAACTTCGTGTGCATTTTTTTTACCCATTTTCTTTGGATTCTGTTCTGGCCGGCATTCTTACACCGAACTTCCCCGAGAAGTTGTAACGCCGCCTTGAGTGACCCCTTCTAGTTGAACGGTCCAGCATTGATTCTACGATTCTTGCACATCAACTGTGTGGAGGTGCTCGGCAGAGTACTGATCTACGGGGGGGTTACGTGTATGACGGACATGACGCGTGGGGCCCCATCTTGCCTCCCTCATGTCTGTTAGCAATCAAGGTCTTGAGTCAGCCTGCTTTCCCTTTCGGCTTCTGGCGAAGTTGCTGCACCGAAATCAAGGCAGCAGCCGCAATAACAGCATCAACAGGAGGAGAAGGAGGAATCATTCAGGTTAGGCCGTCGTTTCTCACATCTATCCACGCTCGCGCCAAGCCTCCTGAGGGTGTGGTTGCCCGCCTCGAGCACGTCGCACGTGGGCATCACCATGGAGCCCCCTTGCCGCTCCTCTTCCTCCGCCAGGCCAGACGCCACCCAACTCGCAACGGAGTCTTCGGCTAGCTTCGCCTCCTCCCTGTTCTCGACAAACAGGGAACCGGTGTACGGCAGTCGCGGTTTGGACATACAGTGTGGCTACGGTTCAAGAGAGGGTCGTGACAAGCCAGTATTTCTCTCCTGAATCCGGTTTTCTCTTAAACCGTACTGTGACATGTATGTATTTCTCATGGTCGTGACAAGCCTGGTTGACTCTTAAATCGGTATTTTGTCTTCAATAGCCTCTCTTGAACCGTAGCCACCACTGTAAGCGGATACCTTTCAGCGGGGGCTCCAACATGAGAAGGTCCAAATCGGTTGTCACGGACTCAAACCGCTGATTAGTAGGGTTGGGGACTCTCTTAATCCGGCACAAGTGGGTCGAGGGCCTTTGTCACTCCACCCTCATATAGACTTGACTTTTAAATAGTGTGAATTTTTATCTTGATTTCAAAGGAGGCCTGTGGAGGGAGGCGCTTGAAATGTATGTTTTGAGCAGCCTCTACTGCCGCCCTGTGCGAGAATCAACGATTGCTGTTTTTGGTGATGCCTCTCGACTGGTCTTGCGTGTCTGTTGTGCAATTTCTGGACCTCTTGCGTTTGTTTTCAAAATTCGTCAACATCAAAGTTGCTCTTCTTCCCGCATCTGACCCGTTAAGGGGGGGGCTGGCCACATCGTATGCCCGGGCATGACTGTTACTGTAGTTCCTGTTGATATGTTTGAGCTGCACGGTGGGAGGCTTTCTACAAGAACCAGTCACCGAAAAGGAGGTTGGCCTGAACCGTCTATGCTCGGTGCAGGAGAGGAGACACAGGATCTCAAGAGACCCGCTCAGGATCTCAAGAGACCAGACCAAGGGTTTCGCACGTTTTGAGAAAGCACCGACAACTAAGACGCGTGTAACGGTCACACTCCTGCGCGTACCGGGCACGTTAAACTTTAACAGTTACATATTCTGCTCAACTATGACCCGCCGCCGCTCACGGCAGTTACACGAGTCGGTACCTGAATCGTCGTCGGGGGACCCCCAGCCCCGTCCAACCCCCGCCCCCTCCCGCCTCGCCCCCGCCGCTGCCGACGGCATCGGAAGGCAGTCCCCAGTCTCTCGAAGGATACCACCAAGGCACGCTGCTATCACCACCCCTTCTACCGCTGCCGCCTACGGCGTCGGCGACGGACCCCAGCAGAGCCACCACCACCACCCCAACAAGCAGGGGGCTACGCGGAAGCGCGTCGAGGGGGGGATGTCGCCAAGACGCCACGGCTGTTGTTGTTACTACAGTGGTGGGTATTCGTTTTCGGCTTCGCTTTCGCCGGCATCGCGCTGTTGCAGAGTCTGTCGGGGAGGCCGGGGCGGGGGGNGGGGGGGGGGGGGGGGGGGGGGGGGGGGGGGGGGGGGGGCGTACGTATGCCTTAGCTGTTAGACCATGGACCACGAGAGGACGGCGCACTGTTCCCACCTGACTGATCTCACCGATGGCCAAACGCTCCTTCGCAGTTTGCTAAAAGTCGGCTCAAGAACGAGTTCCCTATCCTCTGTCTATCCCGTCGATATCACTTGCCGCCTTTTTCAGCCCACGAGGGGGGTGCGGGTGAGGGGTGGCTGGTCGGGGACGATGCGTGGATCCCACAGTAGTGGTTATGCGTCTAAAACTGCATTTCAAAGGTAGATGCTGACACACGAACTTTCATGGTTCACCCGCCAAAAGCTTTGCCTGCAGCACTTGTGAGTCGTGAGACGTGCAGTCTATAAATAGAGTCCGACCGTTTTCAACAGCTGCGGCATCTGTGTATAAAAAGCGCAACACTTGGCGTCGTCGGTGAGACGCGCTCGCGGGAGAGCGATTCCGGACCGTTTTCCCGGAATCGAACCGGAAAAACCGCAGCGTGACGGAAACCCGTTTCGAAGAAACGGCAAAGGATGGCATTCTGCACTCGTCACACAGAACTACCGTAAGAAGCGGAGAGTTGACACCCCCCTCCGACCGACACATGAAAGCTCGATTGCTCCAAAAGGAGAGGTGCAGAGAGGGCCAGATACGTGTACGCAGGAAAGCTCTACCCGACATGCTTCCAAGCGTCCCATTTTCGGTGTTCACAAAAACCACTCATGGTGCAAGTCGGACCCGTCTGCGTTCAGTGCGACTCAATCTTGTTTGTCAAGGATATCCGTGGGTGCAACGAACCGCACGCGGTGATACGAAAAAAACGCTATTAATAGACCCCTGATACATAGAGTAGCTTCACACAGCACGGGGGTTCTCGTAAAACATGATAACGACGCGATATGACATACACTGGTGTGCGAATCGAGGTCTCTTGTCATGGGAAGGCGAGATAAATCTGTCGATAGATACGTGTAGTACATACGCGCGAAGGATATCGCAATGCTCGGATCAGATGTATAGTCTAATTCCTTAACGTACCTTTTAGTACACGGTTGGCAATTTGACTGCTGTGTGGGTGTTGCAACATTGCTTGCGCTGGAAGGCAATCAAGAGACGTCAAGGACTACTTTCGGTAACACAGAGAGCGCCATTGTTGTTTCAAGTAGAGAGATGCGTACAGAAGAGAGGGAGGTAGGTGTACTGGGCTTCTACCTGTTCCGACGTCCGTGGTTGGAACACCCCGTCTTACTTCTCCGGTGTGTGCGACAGGGTCACAAAGGCTCGAAATGCCGAGGTCAGTGTATTGCGCCGCATATTATCAATCGCCGCCACCCCCTTTTAAAATACTATATACACCGCTGTTGGTTGAGGATCCAGAACGAAGCCGGCGACCAATTCACGCACGCCACGAAGCACGAGTGTAACGCGCGCTTGTTCTCACCTCTTTCCAAAGTGCCAGTCTTTACCATCATCTCTCTCCAACACGTGCGGGGAGTGCTCTCGACGTAACAGGTAACACGGATGGGTGAGGAGAGGGGCGGGTAGCTATAATGATTTTGCGTAACCGCTTCTTTGTCGGTGCGCACCCTGCAGCATCCAGCGCCCGGCCTGCGGCCCGGAAACCGAGACAGCGAGACACAGAGCAGGGAGCAGGAGCGACAGAGAGACTCAACCCGCGGGGAAACGAACTCTACCGTAGGTAAAGCAGACATAGCGGTAGTTCTCGGTGGAAGGAAGCAAGGTGCAAGGTGGATGTGGTTTGGTTTGCCCGACGGGTGCGGCACTGGTCGTTGCGCATTTGGTGTGCAGAAAGGCGACTCGCAGAGGACCTCGGTATGCGCGTTTGATCTCGTTGCAACTAGCCGGCAGCGCTGTGCAAAGGAATAATGAACCGGCAAGCTTCAGGGTTAAGGCGCCTAGGGTCAGAGCTGGAAGCGTCGCCTCTCGTTGTTCTTTCTTTGGAAGCAGTTTGCCTGGTTGATGTACCGCTTTAATGCGCACAAACGCTATTCTTCTGATGCGTGTGTGTGGTGTTTCTCGCGTAGGAAGAACTAATGATTCCCTTCATGACGGCCGTGAGAGACAGGAAGAAAGACACTCCAGGCTGACGGTCTGAGGCAGGTAACAACACACATGCGCACGCAAGCGCGCGAAAGCTATGAATGTTGCAGCCGCTTTTCGGGGTATATGCATAAAAATCTACGAAGCATTCGTCCATACGTGACAAGATGGGAAAGATCCATCCGCCGCGTATGATGTATCTACGGTGTGCGTACCATACCAGAAAGGCATCGTGAGATCACTGCTGTAGCGCACAGCACACCCACTGCTGCTGAGGGTTGGCGTATCTGAATGTTGTATGAACGTATCCATGCGTATGCGTATGGATAGAACAAGGGCATGCCTCCGTCAGCAACCGACGGCGACGAGGTCAATGAAGGCGGGCGCCGCAGTGCCACCTGCGCGACCGGACGGGGTCCGACGAAACGCTGTAGTCTACAGCAGCACCCAACGTCATCCGACGGCGGCGAATCGGAGTGATATTGTGTGCATAGAGAGGGCAATACTTTTACAGCGGTAGGTATCCCGATATAGTGCCGGAATGTGCCTAGAGGTTTGACCGGCACTACACCGGACACTGTATGCAGTACGGGCCCGGAGATAAGAAGCGTCAAAATCGGGTCTAGGCTCAGTCCCTTATTTTGGGTGGAGCCGAAGTCGTCCATTTTCTTGAAAGGCATTTCTTATTTCTTTGGACTGTCGCCTGTCGCACCTGATTATCTTATTTCTTATTTTCTTGTTTCTGGCTAAGAATACAACACACCAAACATTTACATTCGTGAAGCAGTGGGTAAAGCAGCCCATGGAGGCGCGGAGTAGCTAGCGCGGAGGCAGGGGGGGGGGGGGGGGG